AAATTCCTGATGTTTCCAGACTCCAGGTAAGGAATGAGGTCCAAAGTCCTCGTGTCTTGAGTCATAGAATCATAGGATCATCTAGATTGGAAAAGACCTTCAGGATCATCAGGTTCAATCAACAGATCTGATCCTTGCACCTTGTAGGAGCAGCTGTAGTAGTGAGCTAAAGTGATTGGTTTATGAGTACTCCATTGCTGATGCAGTCTCTGTGGCTGGACCACCTCATCTTGCTGGGCTGCAGGAGCACAGGATGCAGCTGTGCATGGTGGCTGATGTAGAACAGGCTTGGAGCTGTTGAGCATCTTCTGCTCAAAAATAAAGTCTCAGTTCAGACCATAAATTATTAGGGGAAAGCAAGCAGCAACAAATTTCCCACTCTATTCTCAATAAATAACTTAGTCAGTTCTGGCAAACTAATAGTTTCCATATTGCTCAGAACTTAGTGGGAAGCTTATTACAGGTTACTGTATGGCATACAGTGATGCTACCAAGGGAAGGATGCAGCGTTGCAATGGTGATGCTGCTTCACCAGGGAATGAGAAATCAGGCTGAGAAGGCAGCAGGAGGTTGTTCAGTTCACTTGCTCCCCAAAGGCAGCAAAAGCAAACAGTTTGCAGGCAGTGTCCCACACCAAGTCCATCTACCCTTCTGGCACCCCAGCTGCCACTAAGGATCCTGACTTCACAGTATAGTCCAACTGGCCATGTGATATGTAGGACGTGGATACCAGCCTTGCTCTCTCCACCTGATTGCACTGCACAGAGGTGGTTCATCATGATTTCTGCTAGACTTGAAAGGTGTGTGATTTTCTTTAACAGCAAGACTTGCCTGCCGGCAACCATTAGCTCTCTCCAGCATCATAAACAGAGTCATATTCAGTTTACACCACTTCTGTACTTGGCTTAGGTGCTCTTTTTCTGCCCATACATCTCTGTTTTCAACTCCAGTCAGCACTGGTTTGAAGTTATTACTGTCTGGTGGTTGGGGTTTTTCAGTGGTGTGTGCACCCTAAATGAGCTTTGTGGTCTCCCCACTTCAAAAGCCTCTCTGCTCTCACCCCTGTTTACTGACTGTCCTGCAGTGAGACCAAAGACTGAAGGGTGTAAACTACCCCTGTGCTGCCCTAGATCTCTGCAGCACGTGGGGATGCAGCGGTGGGACAGCCATCATTGCTGCTGGAGAGGGTTTGGGGGGAATTGGGCAAGGAGTTGGTGCAGAGCATCCTCATCTCCATTCAAATCAGACCTGAATGCAGCACGTGCTGCACACTTACTCTGGTGCCATGTGTTTCCTAGGCCAGAAGAAGAGACAGGGATAAGTGCAGAGCCCCTTCATCAGGGAATGGCACACAGGTGCTTCACCAAAGGAAGCAGGTGCTCGCACTCAAACCAGTTGGCTTCCATTTGATATAATCAAGCCCTTGGTGGAGTCAAACTGATGCTGAGAACTAGGGGGGAGGTCTCTGTGTGTTGGTAAGAGAGCTATTATGTTTGTGCATTCTTCTGCACTAGGTTTTATTTGCCTAGTAAGTTTCATCTGTTCTTTGCATGCATTGTTCTGCTATAGGGACTGGGGCTCCTTTGTGAAATCTTGATGGAGTTGTGTGTATGAAATGGGGAAATGGCAAGAAGAGAGAATGTGTTGAGTGTTGCAACATTTCCTCCTAGTATTTAATATCCTGACAAAATCTATTTCTTTAAAGTAAAAAAACAAAAACAAAAACACGCACTACTTGAAGTGTTTTACTCTAAAACAAGATATTTGCAGTGTTATAAAAGTGTCAACATCTCACTTACAAGTTGGTCATTCTTTTGGCAGTGGCTTTAACAGAAAATCCCCCTTGGGGCTATCGTGCTTCTCTGTGTTGGTTTTTCTTCCCCTTTGTAAAAAAAAAAAAATATCTATATGAAAAGCCAAACTTAAAAAGCAAGCACAGTTTACTGGGTCTCGTGACTGGGTAACCATTGTACTGGAAGTTTAAAGCAGTGGGGCTGAGGCCAGGAGATGAAAGGGGATGGAGAGAAGGCAGGTTTCTGCAGCAGTAAGCTGGATATTCCAAGGTTCGAGCTTTCAGCACTGCCCTGGTTCTGGGAGCCAACAATACTATTATCAACATTTTCTTTTTTTCTACTGTTTATGCCTCTGATCCTACCAAGGTCTACCCACAAAAAGAAAAAAAAGCATTTATGTGGTTGAGGTTCAAATGCATTTTCTTTCCTGCTGTCTGCATGCCATGTGAAGGATGAGCTGACTGAAGTCAGTAGGGCTATCCTAATGCTTGAGATCACACCCTGTGATTTCTTTCTGTATCTTTCTGTATCTGCCACTGTTGATCATGTCCTCTTACATCTGTTTCTCTACATGACTTTCTTCTTCATTGTAGATCAACACTGATACCTTAGGCAGATATCAAATGTTTCTCTTGGTTTCTTCCTGCCTGCTGGTGCTGGAGAACCCCGTCTGCCTGGGCATTTCTTGAGGATGATGCTTTTGGTGATGCTCCCAGCCGGTATACAGTGATCCCTCTCTAGAAGATGCCTTGTTAAGGCTAGTTCTCTGTTCTTCTGCTTGTGTTTCAGTGTAGGGTTAATCCTCCTCTGTGAATATGGCAGGGAGGAAGGATGGAAAAAGCTAGTTAGTATGATAGAGACAAAGCACTGGTAAGAGCAAAACCTGTCTTCAGGCCTTGGATAGAGAAGCAGCAACTCATTTCTCAACATGCAGGCTCCAGGGTAGGGCAGCCATGGAGCTAAGCCTTGAGCTGCCCATGAGGAGGAGGAGCACCATTTAACCCCTGCAGTGAAATGAAGTGTGCTTTGTTGCAAGGAAGTGCTGGGTAAAACAAGTGTAGCTTTGACCTGAGTACCTCAAAATGCTAGCAGGGGAGGTGGTTGAAAACAGAAGGGTTACTGAAGTCTGGGGAAGGGGCTGCCCATCCTAACGTGGTCCCACAACTTATTTCCACTTCATCAGTGCATCTGTGATGTGGGAACTGCTGGGTGGGAAGATGGGAAGGTCGAGCTGTTTTGGTGGTGTGTGAGATGGGCTGGGGGCAGGTTAAAAAGCAATTTACAAACACCAAAGACCACACGGAGGAGGCCAGCATGGGCTGTGGGTCTGAGTAACTGGAGCTGTGAGCTAACTGCTCAGGTCTTGTTTCCTCACTGGTTTTGTACATGTGTAGCTGTGTCAATGGGTGTAAACAAGAGGCTTGCAGAAGTGTTTTGTAGCTACACACTGACAAGCCTCTGCTCCCTGGTGACCCTAGGTTGCTGCTGCCTACTCTTTCCCACTAATTCTGATTCCTCAACACAATTCTCCTGCCTGATCCTCCTGCAGCTCTGGGCCTGAGAGTTGGGTTTGTGTCTGCCTTGGAGCTTCTGTTTTGGGCACTGAATCCCTAGCTATATCCCTTAGGAGAAATGATGTGCTTGTGGAGACTCTGCACAGGTGACTCTCATGGGCAGAATGCTCTTGTCCCCATGCCTTCACTCTGACAGTTTGCACACACAGAGCAGAGAGGCCCAGGGGTGAGCTTGTAGAATCTCTTATCCTGAAGTCAATATCACTTAAATGATGACTGTTTGTGGCTAACTTCTTGCTAACACTGTTACAGTTGATGCCACTCTTGTGTTGCTGCAACAGTAGTTTGGGTGATCTGCTGACCCTTGTAAGGATGCTGGGAGTGTCTTGACTTGAAGCCAAACATTGCTATTGGAAATACTGAAATAATCAGTGCTTCTGAAGAAGGAAAACAGCTGCCAAGCCCGTAGTAAAATCATCCACACAAATGCCTCCCGTTGGAATGGGAAATTTGTGAAGGCAAACACAGCAGTCCTGCTTCCTAATTCATTTGGAAAACGGGTTAGCCATTGGCTTAGGCTGAGAATAAGCACGTGGCATCTGAATGAGGTTTGACCTCAGAGCTCTCCAGCCTAAATGTCTGGCTGCGTTCTTAGATGTACTCTGTGAGGATGAAGCCCTTAAGCCAACACCAAACCCCTGTTCCCCCCACCCCAATGAGGTGCTCCTCCAGGTGCAACAGATGAGTTAAGCCCAGGCCAGCTGACAGCCTCCCTGCCATCTCAGGGGCTGTTGGTGAGCTGCAAGGGGGAGAACCTCAGCAACAGATTCATTGAGCACTTCAATTCCCAGGGCCTTCCCAAGGGACAGCTTGTTACAGCAGCCTTGGTTAGGGAACAGGCCATAAGCACAGCAGCGCTTCCTTAGTATGGCTCCTTGCCTGCAGCTCCTAATGCTATCCTGCTGTTAGAGCCTGTATTTTCCCTTGGTGGTTTTTTTTTTTTTTTTTTTTTCTTCCTCTTGAGATGGCATTACATATGTAGAATACATCTGTAGATCTGATTGCAGAGCACCCACTGTAATTACTGAATTTGGAGCTTGAGAGTGACCGTACCTCTCAAAATTTAGTGGGGGAAATTCCACCTTTACATTACTTAAGGTTTGCACATACAGTTTCTTGCAAAGTGGGTCAATTTTAATAACCCATTCTGTCTTGTCTTAGCAAATTCTACAGGCCAGCCTGTTCCACACCACTAATAGCATTCACTGGAGCTACTGAAGGGAAGTAACAGTCTCTGCCATAGGTTTCCATGCTCTTGTGGCTGTGTTTGGGCTCACAGCAATTTTTCTTGCCTCTGAAGCAGGTATTCAGTGTGAGCCCAGAAGTGATGGCCAGGAGCTGCCTGCAGCAACTCCTGCACGCCTGGGAGAGGAGTTGCCAGCCCTGGAGCCACCTGTTTCTCCCCTCTGGCCCATCTTTGCTAAGTGGGCAGCACTACAAGTAGCAATAAGCAAGTGTGGCGTGATGCTGTGCTGCTCCTGATTGCCTTTAGCAAGTGCATACAGCCCAGGGCGCTGTCTGTCCTCAGGCAGGTGTTAATTTGGTGGATAATACATACACCTTGCAGCTCAGAATCCATTTATAAATAGAATTTTATTTATAAAGTCAATTTACATAAAATATGATACTCTTTTTAAAAACTGCATATGTACGACTTAAGAAATCCTAGCAAGTGCATACAAAAATGCCTTCAATACATTTAAAAAAACAAACAACAAAACAACTTCAGTTTTCAGAGAAGTGAACCTTCACACCAGGCAGAGTCAGACACCACAGTGAGATGCAACAAAACTTTGCAGTCCTTTAGTAAAGTGTTTGGAGAAAGAAAAACAAACAAACCCTTTCATCTAAACAGTGTATATTCCCCAAACATTCCAGCTGGCAGTGTTCAAGAACAAGGGAATTGGACTGAAAATAGAGCTACCTCCTTAACCCTTTTCCCCAAGGTTTCTCATACAAAAATAAGTCTTCATACACCACTCTTCCCATAGGCGGTTCAAGTTGCATATAAAATAGAATCTGACATTATAAAAAAAATTCCCTCCCCCTCCAGAAACAAGGAAGCATCAAGTGGTTTCCATTTCTTTTTTCCACCCTTTCCAAAGGCTGATGGGAAGTAGCTGCGAGGGGATGCACAGCCATTCTCTGGAGTGGGTGAAAACCTTGTCCGTCAGCAGCCCCAGAGCAGACATCGGAGCCGTGACACCATTGCACTTCAGCCCAGCAAGGAAAGCAGCCAGGAGGAACTTGAGAATTTCTGGGGGAGATTTATTTTGGAGGGTACTGCTGGCTGCTGCGGAAGACCATAGGCATCAAGGTATGGCTGTGGAGAGATTGTAAAAACCCATGTCTATTCCATCTCCAACCCCAACGGCCTCCTCAGCTTCCAACCCCATGACCGCTCAATCCTATCGGCCACCTCAACACCACCAGCAACCCCAGTGTCTTTGGCAACCCCACTGGCCACCTGAATCCCCATTGGCAACCCCAACCTGATCAGCAATCCCAATCCCATCCGCCACATCAAACCCCTGGCTACCTCAACCTCATAGTCAATCTCATCGGCCACCCCAAGTCCACTGGTCACCCAACCCCATCAGCCACCCCACTGGCTACCTCAGCCTCATTGTACAATACAACCCCATGATTGCTTAACCGCCATCAGTCAACCCAACTACTGGCAATCCCAATGGCCGTCTGACCCCATTGGCCACCCAATGACTCCAAGATCACTCAACTCCATAGACCACCCCAGCCCCACTGACAATCCCACTGCCCACTTCAACTCTGTGAGCGTCCCAAGCTTAAAGGGCTGGGAAGCCGCAGTACCCCAAGCCCACCTCACCTCCCACCAGCTCAGTAGCTCCCAAGCCAGCTGGTGAAATCCAGCAGTTCCTGCTCCTCGGGGCTGAGCACCGGCTCGTAGCCGCTCTCCTCGGAGGAACAGGGCGAGGCGGAGGAATAGCCGCTGCCGCCGCCGCTTTCCCCGACAGCCCCCCGCCCCGCAGAGCGGCCCGCTCGGCCGTCGGGGAAAGCGGCGGCGGCGTCGTGCTCGTCGAGGAGCCGCTGCAGCGCTCGGATGTACTCGACGGCGGAGCGCAGCGTCTCCACCTTACTCAGCTTCTTGCTGGCGGTCCCGTGGGGGACGTGCTGCCGCAGAGCGGCGAAGCCCAGGTTGACCAACCGCACGCGGTTGCGCTCCCGCTCGTTGCGCCGGGCCACGGCCGCCGCCGCGGTGCCGCTGCCCGAAAGGGAGGCGAAGGCCAAGCGGCGTTTGCAGCGCAGCAGCTCCGGAGAGGCGGGGCGGCGGCGGCAGCGTGAGGCGGCGGCGGGGGGCGGCGGCGGGGCACCGCCGTTCATCGCCGAGGGGCCACGGCGGCGGGGATGGGGAGCGCGGCAGCGCCGGGAACGGTTAGGGAACGGAGAGATGAATTAAAATGGAAAAAGAAAAATTAATAATTACTTAAAAAGGAAAAAAAAAAAAAAAAAAAAAATTACCTGCGGGGTGGAAATAAAAAAGGGGGTAAGGTGCAAGAAAAAAAAATGCAAAAAAAAAAAAAAAAATGCGGGTAAGATGCAAAGGAAAATGCGTAGAAAGCAAATGAAAATGAGATTTAAAAAAATGTGCAATAATGATGCAGAAAGCGCGAGCCGGGCGCCAAAAGAATGTGAAATGCAAAGAAAAAACGCAAATAAAAGTGGGACTAAAATGCAAACGAAACGGGAGTTTGAAAAAGCGCAAATGAAAAATAAATTAAAAAGTTTTTTTAAAAAAATACAAGACAGGGAAAAAA